TTGCTCATCCATCAAAATGCAGTTCACGATCGTCGTAAAGATTTCAAATGTGACAAGTGCGAGAAGAAATATACACAAAAACCGAATTTGCTTGTACACCAAAGAACAGTACACGAGGGTCGCAAAGATTACGCATGCGACAAATGTGAGAAGAAATTCGGACAAAAATCAGATTTGCTCATCCATCAAAATGTAGTTCACGATCGTCGTAAAGATTTCAAATGTGACAAATGCGAAAAGAAATTTGGACAAAAACCACATTTGCTCTCACACCAAAAGACAATGCATGAAGGTCGTAAAAATCACGCATGCGACAAGTGTGAGAAGAAATTTACACAAAAACAGAGTTTGCTTTACCACCAAACGACAGTACACGGAAGTCACAAAGATTTCGCATGTGATCTTTGCGAGAAAAAATTTGGAGATAAACATCATATGCTTCTCCACCAAAAGACAATCCATGAAACTCGGAGAGATTTCGCATGTGACCAGCGTGAGAAGAATTTTAGAGAAAAATCGAAATCATTCAGACACCAAATGGCAGTCTACGATGGCCAAAAAAATTTCTCATGCAACAAGTGCGGAGAAAAATTTGAACAAAAAACGGATTGGTTTAGGCACCAAAGGACAGTACATGAAAATTGCATGGATCACTCGTATGTAAAGGAATTGACACAAAAACTGTATTCGTTGATGGCCCACAAACGCCTCACAGATTTCGCGTGCGACAAATGCGAGAAGAAATTTGGGCTTAGATTCAGTTTGACCAGACACCGAGAAAAAGTACATAAAGATTGTTAAGAAATAAACGCATTGATTGAATCTCGTACTTGGATTCGCTTCATCTAGTTAATTCATGAATATTTAATTTAGAAATATTTTCCTTCGGAGTATCATTTGATACAATTTTCTAATGTGACCAAGCAAACGTACATGTATCGTTATTTACGTTATTTTTGTACTTATTTTATGTACTTGAGAATTCTACGCATATATTTAATCACCAGTAAACAGTTTTCATAAAAAATTTCTTGAACTAACTATATTTTAAATCAATACGTATTAAAAGTTAAATTGATCACGCATTTTTCTAGTTTACAATATAATCCTAACCAAAGTTACTACTAAACATAAAAAAAAATTTAGTTGAAATAAAAATCCTATAATTTCAAAAATATGAGACTGAGAGAGAGGAAAAAAAGATGCAAAAATAGGGTGAGATGGATATTCAATCATTTATAATCTGTCTAGAATTAGAAAAGTAGACAATAGGTAAATTTTAATAGTAAAAAACTCATGCAAAAATTTCGATGAATGAGATAAAAGTTATCGCGCATCAGATTCGTGCTCGCCTCTATACGTTTCAATTAACTCTTTAAGTTTCTTTTTTTGCCCTACTCAGGCACTGTATACGTGGCCGGTGCAGCTTTTTTTTTTCATGAATATAAAATGTACTCACCGAAGCGGGTGGGTGAGCCGAGGAATTTACAACACCTGCGAACCGCTTTAACAGAAAATTTCGTGCGAGATGTGTTTTTTTTATGGTATACGTTCAGGTTGTATTACACGCGCGTACGAGTTTCGAGAGTAGTGTATTAATTTTTGGATCCTTGCCAAGTTACGTAGAAAATGAGATGGAGCGAGAAAGAGAGAGAGACTCTTCTCGCTTTTCCTTACACAATTTTTTTTTTCACGTTCTTTCGACTCCGAGTTCTTTTCAATTTTACAAAACTTGCGCGCGCGTAGTTCCATTGTTGACAAGAGCGCCAAAAATCCATCTAACCGCGCGAGAAAATACTACTAGTGGCAACATTTGTTGCTAAAGCTGAGCGAAATATGGTTATATGTTTATTTATTCATATATTTCGTACTATAAAATCAGAAAGATTTAAATGCGATTCTGAAGACTTAGGAATAAAGAAGAACCACAATATTAATCAATGACATATCAAATTGTCTAATTTATAACAGTTTGAAATACTTTATTTAACAAAAATTTAATAATATTTTCGAATTATCCAAATACATATGGGTAAGGCTCAGAACTTTTTAAATAAACCTGCGCTCGTATGTCACCGATCTTGACGCGCTTTTGGTATGTTATAGTACATAGTAAAAAGGCCCCAAAAACAAAATTTGAGACCCCCTCCCCCCTCCTACCCCCCACTTCCGGTATAAACGTCCATTTTCGATCTCTATTTTTTCTGAGGACATCAAGTAATTAAAAAATCTGAAAAAATTCATAAAAATACTTTTCAACAATCCAAACAACCTTGAATTTTTTCAGATTTTTCGAGTGCTTCAGGCCTTCAGAAAAAAT